ATCATTTTCATTCTCAGTGACTCAGAATTAGTAAAGTTTGACTACATTTATTTCAGAAGCATTTTGGCTGTAGAGCAGTGAAATCAGCTCGCATGCCGCCTTTGGCATGTGTGCCATATGTTGCCTACCCCGGTCTATATTCTTTGTTCCTTGGTGTACACATTTACATTTAGCTGTATTAAAACATATATTGTTTGCTTGTGCCCAATTTACCAAGCAATCGGGATCACGCTGAAGCAGTGACCTGTCTTCCTCATTATTTACCACTCCCCTAATTTTTATGTTAACTGCAAAGTTCATAAGTGTACTTCAGGTAGTTATGTAGACCCCATTACCATAGCATTTCAGAACTTCACAATTTTTAATGCATTTATCCTCATAAGGGTCCTGTGAGGTAGGGGAGTATCCCTATGTAACAAATAGGGAACTAAAGTGCAGAGAGACTCCGTGCTTTGCCAAGGTCACACAGGAAATCTATTGTAGAGTAGGGAATTGAATCCAGGTCTCCCCAATCCCAAGACTCCTAACCAGTGGACTATCCTTTCTCCCTTTTTGATAGAACGAAAACCACACCGATTTATTCTCTGGAGTAAAAATGTATCTATTAAATGTTGACATCATCATCTGTAGAACACAGGTTGAGACTGAGAAAATCTTCAGTCCTGTAGCAAAATGCTAGTCTTGATTTACATTTTTTAAAGAGAGAACAATTTATCACTGCTGGTATTTCTTGTACTAAAGCAACAGAGATCATGAAAGCTTGCAATATAGATGTGCTTCGCAATGGTCAAATGTTACCTCAGCAGTTTCCCATTTTTCACAATAGGAGCTTATGGAAATTCTCAGGCATCAGAGACTCAGGGTTTTTCCTCATTCTTTTCTGATTGAGATTGTGATTCTGAATTATCATTATAAATAAACTCAATATGACCAACAATCCTGTTTATCTTCATTACCCATTGCAGTCTGGGAAGTAGGACCAATTTTATTTTCTTCCCTAAGACAGAGGTGTTTCCCGTTTTTCTGAGCACAGAAGTAAGGGTGGGATTTTCAAAGGGTCTAAGTGAGGCAGGGACTCAACTCCAATTGAAAGTCCCTTTGGAAATCCCATCCTAAAAGCCCAGGAACTCCAGAGTTCTAATATTGACTTTAATTCTGATTCTTGACAATGACTCTCAATGTGGCCTTCGGCAAAGCATTGAATCTTTTTGCCTCAGTTTCCTCCACTATAAAATGGAGATGATACCTACCTCACAGCGGTGTTTTGACAATTAGCTAATGAGTGTTGAGCTTTTAGAATATGAAAGAGCTATATTGATGCTAAATAGAGTTTAAGGCCATAAGGGACCACTAGTTCATTTAGTCTGACTTCCTGTATACCACAGGCCATCAACACCACCCAGCATCAGCACACTAAACCCAATATACATATTATTAACTTATGCCAGCTGCTCTTTTCTGTATACGAATGTAAACGCACACATCCTCCCAAATGACTTCCATGAGTTTTTGATCAGGCTTTCGATGTCTCATGCAGCCATAGTGGCCTTGTTATAGGAGGGGTGCTCACAATGTGTAAAGTACTAACTAAGGTAGGAAAATATATATTTTTTTATTTCCAACCTTTGCCATAATTTTTTTTAAATAAATGTAGCTAAAATGATGCAATCATGGCACCTGAATGCAGATAGTCTCAGAAACCTTCAAGTTTGCACAGTCCTGCAAAATAAAATTCCATCGATACTGTGACCAGTTGCCTGTGATGGACCACATTGAGAATGCCACACTCAGGGCAGACTTCAAGAAATAAGGAAGACAATCCCCAAAGCTAGTGGTTTATTCTATAATTAGATTCACCAGGCCAGAAACAAAAGAGTTTTTGTAGTACCACACTGATTAACCAGAAGCCAAACACAGTCCCCTTTAAGTGTTCCAGATCTTGACTCCCATCCAGACAAACAGATCTAATATAGTGTGGGGTTATTGATAACCTAATTCAACATATGCAAGGTTCTTACTAATCTGAAAACATCAGGACACTTACCACTAGATCAATATGTATCTCAAATCTTGCCCAAATACCACACTGTCAGCCAATCCTTAGTAAACTAAATAAAGATTTATTAATAAAAGAAAAGAGAATTATAAATGGTTAATAGATCATATACATACAAATGATTTCAAAGTCCTTATATCAGGTTTGTAGCAGTGATGGAATAAACTGCTGTCTTGCAAAAATCTCTCTGGTAAATTCCAAAAGATTTCAAAGTCCTCAGTCCATAGTTCAAAATACTCCTTTTTGGTTGTAAATCCACAATCCAGAGAATTGGAACAGGAAAGAAGCAAAATGGAGGTGTCTTAGAGGTCTTTTATATCCTTTGCCATGTGCAGAGAAATTTATTGTCCCAAGCTGGAGTCCAAGGTCACATGTCCACCCCCACCATGCCTTTACATGTTTGCTGAATCACAGGAGAGGCCATTGGCCCTGTTGCTGTCTGAGGCATCCTCAGGGGGGAAGGGGCTATCTGGATGGGATGAGTTTCTTTAAAGGTTCATTGTGAGAGCGGAGTGTCCTTAATGGGACATCAACCCATAGCTGTCTAGCCCTGATAGAAATCTATCTGGAGGGTGTCATATTACATGGGATTTTGCTGAACCCAAAGCTCTTGGTAAGTTTACTCTTTGTGAGGTGGTGGCAGGAAGTAAATCAATGGGAACACGACCCATCTGGCCGATAGTTAGTTGATCCATGAAGGAAAACAAAAGTGTTTTCACTCAACACTTCTACTTTATTTAGTCTCCAGCACTTACACGTGTTTGCAACAGGTCAGTAGAGCATCCCAAATTAACCCCAGATTAATATTTACCCAAGGTCTTGAGGAGGTCTCGAGTAGATATCTGTAGATGGCCAGTGGCCAGCCTTCTATTTGCAGCAGAACTTGAGAGGTGTTCAAGTGTCCAGTGAGCTTAGATCTCTTCCTCCGTTTATACCCAATTTGTTAGTATTACATAGCTTGTTCGTCAAAAAAAAACAAAAACAAAACTGCTGAGCAGAAGTTGTGTGTGGAGTTTTTCAGCCTCTCAGGCAGGGAATTTTCTATCAGTTAAGCAGTTGTATTTCACTTAGCAATAGTTAACTATTGTCAGACTTTCCATCTTGCAAAACCTTATGCTTCAGCAAAGTTCAAGTCAGGAGTGCAAAGGGTCATGCTTACTCATCATGAACACTCATTTCCCCCCCTCCATTCCTGGTCTATTAGTTATGCTAATGTTTCAGAAAGGCCTCTTTTTAGCTGCTTTCAGCAATAAGCATAAGAGTTGGTATTCCAGCTGCTGGTAGTGGTCTAGGCATGTTGTTGGGCTCTGAGCTATCAACAATCCACCCCCAAAATACAGCTAGGAACAAAACACATGTTGGAGATACAAATACATAGAAAATATTCATAGCTTTAGATACAAAGGTATACATTGATTTAATCAGGATAATCATATTAGATATATTGTAACTTTCTCATTGACACCTTACATGACACACTTTGTGTAAGATTTGTTGCAATTGTATAAAGAGGTAATATCAGTTATATAAATGGTCATCTTTAATCATACAGCATCACAGACACATAGATTGTAGACCAGAAGGGAAGATTAGATAATTTAGTCTGGCCATAGAATTTCACCCATTTAACCTTGTACTGAGCCAAATAACTTCTGTTTGCCTAAATCATATCTTTCAGAAGGCATCCAGTCTTGATTTGAAGATGTCAAGATATGGAGAATCCACCACTTCCTTTGGTAGTTTGTTCCAACAGTTAATATCCCTGAGTATTAAAAGTTATGTTTTATTTCTACTTTGAGTTTACCAGGCTTCAGCTTCCAGCCATTGCTTCTTGTTTTGCCTTTCTCTACTAAAGAGCCCTTTAGTACTTGGGAAGGTACTTGTACATTATAATCAAGTCACCTCTGGATCTTCTTTTTGTGAAGCTAAACAGATTGAGCCATTTAAGTCATTCACTGTATGGAATTATTTCCAGCCTTGAATCATTTTTGTACTTTATAAGAATCCATTTGTTTAAAAAAAGGAGGGTGGTCTTTACAAAATAAAGAAAGAGAGTGACAAAACTAAGAGAGGACAGTGTATTGCCCAGAATGATAGGAATCAGTGTATCTGCCATAGTTGTCAAACGATCACACAACATGACTAGAGATGAGCAAAACCAAATATTTTCCCTTTGCTGATACTGCATGAAAAATATAATACTTTCTAAACAGGTCTGCAAATCAAAAGCTATATTTCCTGAATATGATACCCACTCTTCCCACATGAATGTATATCACACCCTTTAAGCCTCTGAGGTCACTTAAATCCAGTCTTGAAGAAATGAAAAATATTCTAGGGGTATTACATGACTTCAGGAGTGTTTTTCTGTAAACTCCCCTTCCTCCATCAAGATCCTACCTTATAATGTAAAAGATTTTCCACTACTGGGCTCATGCCACCCAAACTAAGGTTACATCCTGCAAAGATGTAAGCACAAGAGTAGTTTTATTAATATTAACATAGCCCTTTTAGCATAGTCTCACCCTTGCACTGGTGCTAGCACTAGGCAGAAAAAAAACGGGGAGCTTGCTCTCCTTCATTCATGGGCTTCTTCATTGGATCAGCCTTTCATCTGCCCTAATTTGCACTCCTGTTGTAATGGCTCCCATAAGCCACTGCTGTGGTGTAGAATTGCCTGGGTGTAAGGATAGTCTGTCTAGCTCCTCTCCCATTCCCTGCTTTCTCCAGTTTGGCCTGCCTCTGCCCAAGAACACCCAGCTTGGTGGTTCTGTCCCTTGTGTAGAAACACCCTGGTAGGAGAATATTTTCCACTTACATCTGCCCTGTGCAAAGGGGCCACAGAACAATGGTGAGTCAGACCCAGGGAGTTCATTGGGATTACTAGAATAAGTAAAGCTATGCATGTGTGATATGTAACGTTGGTCTAATTTTGGTTGTACTGGGTGGTGCTAGTGGCCTAGTGATATACAGGACTAGATGATCTAATGGTTCCTTCTGGCCTTAAACTCTATGACTCTATAATTATATATTCATATGGCAGTAAAGAGTTGCTACACTAGTCACTTTCCTTACATGCATTAAAATTCCTGCCCTAGCTTCAATAAACACAATTGAATCGAGACACGTGTGCTTCCTTATTTCTGGCAACAGACAGAGAAATAAAGGAGAAATAGGAGAGGGCTGAGAGTTAATAAACATCTCTTCTTAGAGGAATTTATTGAATGTGAGGGGTTGCTAAAATAAAAAACTTCCGAAACCTTTCTAGATTTCTTTTGCTATGAAATTACAAATTACACTGTGCTAGCATTAAAGGGAGGACGGGAGTATTTATTTTTATTATTTTGTGAAAGGTCACCTAATTCTCCTTCTAATATGTGAACCATGGTAAATAAAGAGGAAGTAAGTACAGACTGAGATGACAGATGATGAATAACTTTTTGACCCTCTCTTAACCAGTCAAATATGTGACATGAAGCTTAATCAATAACTGAACAGGAAGACACTGCACAATGCAATTTGGAACAGAAGCGATCTGTTTTCTGAGGGGGAATGAGTCAGCCATAAAGGAGAAAGAATAATGAAAATAAAATTTTAGAAGTTTCCACCAACCTTTCCATCAGCTTCCTCTGCTTATTGATACGGCTTTTAATTTTATTAGCTGGCTTCTTTCTTACATTAACTTCCTCTTCTTTTTTTGTAAGTGACTATAATTGGGTGCAATGATGCTGTTTAGAGATGTCACAGTAGTGTCAATAGTGACCAGCTGATAAGAATCAGAAGTATCATTCATGCAGCTGAATAAAAAATACCTATGAAAATTTTATTAAAGTTCTCCATAATAGGATCTAAAGAAATTCAGAATGATTCAGATTCATCAGGAGAAAATAAAATTTAGATGGTAATAACAAGAACACAATGCAAAAATATATGAAAAAGGTAATAAATACACTATTAAATTTGTGGGTCCTTTGGGAGACCCCTGGTTAGTGGTATTGTTTGAATTCTGCCCCAAGAGCAGGTGGGGATAGGAAAAGAAGAAAATTTCATTTTGGTTTCATTGTCTATTTAAGGTAGTTATATAGCTTCCATTATCTTAATGTATTTATTCCCACAATCTTGTGAGGTCAGGGAGTACTATTATCCCTATTTTACAGATGGAGAACTCAGGTACAGAGGGTGGGCTCTACAAAGGGATTTACACATTGCCACACTGAGTGTCATGGCACCTAACTTTCAGGCACCTAAAAAATCATAAAATAACACTGTAATTCTCAGGCCAAGTTAGGGGAGAAACAGGCACCCTAGAATGTGATCCACATAAGCCAGCACGCTAGTGGGAAGCTGTCTGTGCTAGCCAATGGGAGATGTCAATCAGCAGGGTGTGTGCTAAGCGTCCCCCGCCAGAGATAGACCCCTAAGGCCGGGCTGCAGGGAGGTGCCTATCTTTGCTTAGAGATCCACAAATGGTAACCAGCCAACTTAGGCATGTAAGGATACTAGATAATGTTTTCACCTCTCTTAGCCACTAGCCATGTACACAAGAAAAGCCCCAGGAACTTTTGAATTTCATTTCCTGTTTGGTCAGTGTGGAGCTCAGCAGCACAGGTGACAATGCAGTCCCAGAATCGCAAACGAGCTCCGACATGGAGTGAACGGGGGACACTGGATCTGATTGCTGTATGGGAGAAGAATCTGTGCAGGAAGAACTGCGATCCAGCAGAAGAAATGCTAATATATATGCCAAAATTGCACAGGGCATTGTGGAGAGAGGCTATGCCAGGGACAAACAGCAGTGCTGAGTGAAAGTTAAGGAGCTCAGGCAAGCCTACTACAAGACAAAGGAGGCAAACGGTCGCTCCGGGTCAGAGTCCCATACATGCCCCTTCTATCTGTATCCATTCTAGGGGGGGACCCTAGCAGTACCCCACCCTATCCATGGACACCTGCAAGGGGGAGTCTCATGCAACACGGAGGAGAATTTTTTTGGTGAAGAAGATGAGGAGGAGGAGAATGCGCAGCAGGCAGGTGGAGAATCTGTTCTCCCCGGCAGCCAGGACCTTTTCATCACCCTGGAGCCAATACCCTCCCAAGGCGAGTTCCCGGACCCTGAATGTGGAGAAGGCATCTTTGGTGAGTGCACATTTGTAACTACATTACAGGGGTTAAAAGCAATTGTGTTTAATGTTTGATTTGCCCTGAAGAATTGGGATGCATTCGTGGCCAGAACAGCTACTGGAAAAGTCTGTTAACGTGTCTGGAGATGGAGCAGGAATCCTCCATGGACATCTCCATGAAGCTCTCCTGGAGGTACTCTAAAAGCCTTTGCAGAGGGTTTCTGGGGCGGGATGCCTTATTTCATCCTCCATGGTAGGACACTTTGCCACGCCAAGCCAGTAGCAAGTAGTCTGGAATCATTGCAGCACAAAGCAAGGCAGCGAAAGGTCCTGGGGTTTGGTCGCATTCATGCAACATTCAGTCTTTATCTTTCTGTATCAGCCTCAGGAGAGTGATAGCATTCCTGGTCACCTGGTTGAAATAGGGGAATTTTTGTAAGGGAACAGTAAAAGGACCCCGTTCATGCTGGGCTGTTTGTGCTTGACTAAAAAGGATCATCCAAGAGAATAGCCATGCCGTAGGGGGAGGGGTGTGCTGCACATCCACCCCAAAACCGCAGCCCCTCCTTTTAAACGGCAAACCCAACCGGCATTGCTTGCTATGGTAAAGGAGAGTGCTGCAGTTTGAAACCATTCCCACCTGTTATGAAGGAGGAAGAAGCCAACCCCACATACCCTTTGGCTGCCTGGAAACCGAATTCTGTTGCCTAGCCATATGTGATGTGTCACCATACTGGCAGGTGCTCGATATAAAAGGCAAAATGTGACCTAGTATCTAAAGCACATGTGGTGTCTGCTGTGAATTGCTTGATTCACTATGA